TTTATTGTGATTATTTTGCAAGGTTGCATACTCCAAAACTCAAGATCATTGAGCAACAAATTCAACAATGCTTAGGATATTCCTATGATATTCCAGTTGTGACGTTTGCAAATGTGCAATCTCACACTCAGGATATCCGACGAACAATTGCAAATTTTACAAAGAAAAAAGAGGGAGGAAAAAATAAAGGAGTTTTCATTGATAGAAGATATATTTGACAAGAAAGTTGCAAAGTTTCAATCTCTTGATAGGAAGAAACACCTCACTTAGGCCATAGAAGAAGAATTAGTATAATCAATACCTCCAGTTAGTATATTTGGATAGAAAATGACAGTCCGATTATGTGGGTAATGGAAGATAATCCAAGTGAAATTACTTCATCCGAATCCATGATTTTTCAGAAACCGACGGAGAATAAAACGCGCAATTTGAAGCCTTTATATCTTATAGTCGCGCTTGATGGGCGTTGGATCAGCAAGGTATTAGTTGATGGTGGGACATCCATTAACACTACGAAAGATTGGAAGAATCACAATGACATGGTGCCGACGGGAATATGTACTACCGATTTCACCGGTAATGCGTACAAAGCCGCCGGCATTGTGATTTCCGAGGTAGTTGTATGATTAATGAATGGTTCGATGGCTTTCTTTATCATTGAAGACACTATCTATTCAGCAATCCTCGGATGAGATTGGATTCATACTTCTCACTCCATCCCAGAGACTTTACATCAATGCGTAATGTTTTGGGAAGGAGATCGTGTTAAAATTGTAGAAACCGAATCTGATTTGTTGGCGAAAGTACATGCGTTAGAAGTAATTTATTATTCTCTAGAACTATATCCTCTATCCATGATATTGCTAGGAGCTGAATTATGTGATGAATGTAATTTGACGTCGAAAGATTTTGAAGTTCACTTAAAGGGTGATTCGCAGCCAAAAAATGAGTTAATTTCTGATGGGGTTGACTCTTGAATCGGCCAACCGTCTCTGCCCGGTGATAAGGCAGAATCATACGGACTTAAGGAATATCAATTCTCTCTCCTGATGCCTTTTAAAGTAGAGGTTACGAGCATTATCCGAGCCCCGTTTGCAAGACTATTCCGACATTCGAAGCGCATGATCCACTTGACAAAATTAATTTAGGGAGTAAGGTGAATCCTAGAACCACTCGGGTCAGTGCCATACTAGATGTTACTTCTGAAAATCATCCCGTCGAATTAATTAAAGAATTCTGAGATTGTTTTGCATAAGATTACGATGAAATGCTTGGATTAGCTCGAAGTCGTGTTGAACACGATTGCTCGCGAAGCCTAATTTCAGGCCTCACAAGCAGCCTCCAAGGAGGTTTAATCCAAATATCCTCTCGAAAATTAAGGAAGAAATAAAGAGGTTGCTCCGAGCTAATTTCATAGGCACTCGCCGCTACCTCGAATGGATTTCCAACGTTGTTTTAGTGATAAAAAAGAATAGGAAGTTGTGCATGTCTATTGATTTCACGAACCTTAACTTCTCAATTGATGTAAATAAGGCGAAGGTAATCCAGTCGATGTTGTAAATTAGCCCCCAAAAGACGTTTAAAACGATGGTTGGCGAGCCTCGACGATTAAGAAGTCAATGGCGAAGGACAATGGAGATTGGAAGCGGTGCGTCGGTTGGAGCATGGCGGAATTAGGAACCGATCATGAGAAGAGTATAATTTGTCTATATAAAAATTGATCGCGTTTGATTACAAAAGTATCAATCAAGTAAAGATTCCTATTCTTGGTAGATCGACACTTTTGTGAGGGGGTAATTTGTTATCCCAAAATATTATTTAGGATAAAATATATAGGGCTCGTGAACAAGGAAAAATAGCCCAGGCGAGCAGCACAACGAGCAACCCGATGCGTGACCTAAGCGGAAGCCCGTAGTAGACCAACTGAAGGAATAATAGGGCATATCTCATATTTAGATAAATTATTGGATTGCGAAGATATATTCGATCATAAATAGATATTGGGTGGAATATGTAATGTTATGAGAAAATGAGAAACAAAGCAAATAAAGAACACAGAATTTTTACGTGGTTTGGTGACAGTGTGTCAACCTACGTCCACGGGTAGGAACCGGAGATATTTTATTATACTGATTCAGAGAATTACAATCATGTCATTCGACTAGGAACCATAACTATCTATTTATAAGCACCCCAAAACACCTTAAACCCTAAGCCTATTTGTTATTAATTAGGATAAGCCCAAAAGGAACCTTGCCAATTGAAACAGCCCTTTCGCTTTGGTTTCGGGTAAGGTAGACCGCTAAATCCAAGTCACGTTTCAACAATCTCTACCTTGACTTGGAGTTTCTCCAACCGCCAAAGGTTCGTCAATATCTCTTTGTCGTCTCCTTCCTGCCAGATGCCCTGAGAGGACTTTACCTTCTGCGAATATTCACCAAGTTCAAGCAGTGGTCGAACTTCTCCGTCGGTAGCGCCTTTGTCAACATATGAGCTGGATTGTGTTCTGTAACTATTTTCTGAATAGAAAACCTGTCTTCCTCTAGAACATCACGGATAAAATTCAACCTTTTATCAATATGCTTGGTTCTCTCATGATACACTGGATTTTTAGTCAAACTCAAAGCACTCTGACTATCACAGAATAACATCGGTTTCTTCACCTTCAGACCCAAACTCTGCACTAGACCATGTAACCAGATACCCTCTTTAATACCTTTAGTCATTGACATGTATTCCACCTCATCGTCGACAGTGCAACCGTAGGTTGTAAAGTAGACTTCCAACTGACTGCACATCCAAACAAAGTGAAGATAAATCAAGTCACTGATCTTCGTTTCACCAAGTCACCCCCGTAATCAGAGTCTGCATAGCCAACCAGACTATCACCATGGCCTTTATCATCATATACCAAACAAATATCAGATGCTCATTTCAAATACCGCAAGATTCACTTTACAGCTCCCCAGTGAGCTTTACCCGGATTAGCCATAAACCTGCTCACCACACTAATCGCAGTAATTTTTCACTTCATTGGTGGTTGAAAGAAACGACAGCGACTTGAAGAGCATAAACCTTCGCAGCATGTATATAATTTTCTTTCTTAGTACACCATTAATGTACTTAAGTATCCGTGAATGCACTTTTGTTCATTGCAAACATTACTTTAACCATTGTAAGGTCTTGTAATGAATTGGTTAATTCCAATTTAAAATTTATATGCATAACTTTTCTGGTTGGCTGTTGTCTTCGTACAAAGATAACATTCCTAACAAATGAGTAACATTTATATGAGCATATGTATGTAGTTTAAAGGTATTTCGATCTAGTTAGACGGGTACATCGATCCGTTGTGGAGGTACAACGTATGCATTATTGTAATTCTAACCATGTGAACAATTAATCATACAATCATTTATGACACAATTCATAACATTACTCTAAACATTAAGTTTTACAAAATTCAACCTACAATTCAATCCATCTATCAATCTTAATACAATCTCATCAAACATGAGGCAAATCAAACCAATTTAACCAACAATTCAATTAGAAAATAACACATTAACCAAATCAAGTACAAATAACACAACCCAAATCAATCCCAAATCCATCTAAATTCATTACAAATGTTCACTTACCCTGTGCTGCTTATCAGAGTCTATGATTCGGAGAGCAGACCTTTCATTATTTTGACCGAAATTTTACTATGGTAGCTCTTCACATTATCAAACTCACCGTCGATGCCACCAATGGAATGGACTGCCAGATTCGTGTGAGCGTAACACTTGCCGAACATGCAGACCAAAAGACCACAGTCGAGAGTATCACCTTGATTCTGACATCTTACGTACTCGGGCATCTTCCTTACCATAGGTCATAGGTATATTGCATTCAGGTACAAGCATAAAAATCACGATTGTAAAAATAACATAATATTTTGTTACGTAATTTGGTTTATCCATGATAAATTAATTATATTTATTTCGTAAACGTACCAATTTCTCCGCGTTCCGTTGCCCGAACGGATCGCATTATGAATTGAACAACAAGCACAATCCGACCTACGATCTGTAAATAAATATCATCAGTACATTACCCAAATCTGAATGTTTTTAAAAGTTTATCAGAATCTATCAGGAGTACGTAACAACACATGTCGAGTACACATTAGTCCCTAAAAGTATATTACTTAGCAAACTAGACCTAAAACTGCAACTCGGGGTACTTAATAATGCCACATTTGTCAACCCACAAATATGACTAATTACCGAACAATCAAACAAAAAAGTTAAAATATGCAACTGCGGGTAACTAAACAAAATGTACATCTACAAAATTAACAAAAAAAACACATATTAAACAAATAAAATCACCAAATATCGGTGCCAAAATAAAAGATTCAATCCGGTCTACGTGGGCAAATATACGAACGATTTTAAACCCGTTTAACAAACACAACTACATCGATCACACAGGGCTCCTCAACACCGAACCGAGATATACAAACACAAGACCAAAAGTTACACCCCAAACAATCGAATACAGTACAAAATATTAGCATCAACAAAATAAAAAATCGAAAAAAGTCCAGCCAGGAACTTACTTCTTCAAGCTTGTCTCGGGGATGGGAGCGATCAACTGTTTTCTTCAGCATTTTTGCACCAACCGATCGCTACTTGATTGCCAAGGGTTGAAGAGCATCGATTCGCCTGAAGAAGAGAGAGGTAGGATTTAAATTTGGGGTAAGAGAAGTTATAAGAGATTTTCTTTTTCATTTATTTTTTAATTCGCGAAAAAAGTACGCAATATTTAACTAGAAGTATATAAGATTATAACGGGGATAAAGTGGGAAGTAATGTAGGTATATATTACAATATTGAAAGTATTGATCAACTTATTTCGAATACTTATTTCGTATACAACAATAATTGAGGAATAAATAAAAATAGAGAGCCATAACATACCTGATTCATCAAGTAAGAAGTGCAGACTAATTTATTTTTAATAAAAACTGAATTGTAAGTGAATTTATTGAGAGGGATTTAAATCCAACTCTCCTAAAATAAAATGAGCTGTAAATTTGAATTATAATTGAGACGGTGCCGAAATCTTAAGTCTTAAATGACAATCAGGCACAAAACACATTTATCCGATCCTATCGAAAAGTGATTATTATCCCAAGATTCCATCGAAAATCCAACTAACAATTTAAAATTCGAATTGACGGGACCCACTTAAATACAATTAATACTTGTCCCGAAAGCTGAAAACGAAGTGCCACCATAACTGCCTGATTCATTTTCCTTAAAGTTGAAAAAGAATATAATAATAATAATATTAAAAAAGAAATTAAATTTGTGTGAGGTAGGTAGCTACTCTCTGTGCTTTTACTCTATAAGTAGCACCTCTATCTCTCTGCCATGGATTTCATTCATCTCTATCTCATCTCTCTCACTAGTCTACTATGCTCGATCAATTCTAGCAGCGCACCACAGCACCAACACTTGAGACAAGCTCCTTCGATCGATCGATTATATTATTATAGGATAGGATAGTAGTATAATCAATAGCAAATAGCAGCCAGCAATGGATGCGTGCAGATTTCATCACGACAACATTAGAGTGGAGAAAGCGAAGGCGATTGCAAAATACAGGATGCTTCAGAGACTTACAAGTTTGTTCCGATACCTGGAGCTATTTGTCTTCCTGATTCTGCTGTCGAGGTTTTCCGGTGGTATGCTCTCTCTTGTTAATCACAACATCTTCAAGGAGCTCGCCGCAACGTTGATTAGCCCCCGATTTGTGTTCCTTCTCGGAAACGCCATCGTGATAGCTCTGTTTTTCATGTCCGGAGGATTTTCCACTCTAAACGGGGACAAATCCCTCGACTTGTACGACGAGTACGTCCAGAAATGCCAGGGCCAGGGCCGGGGGAGCAATAGCAATAGTAATAGTATTATTAGTAATCAGATGATGAAATCCTCCGATGCTTACAGTTACAGATACGCCCACTCTAAACGGAAAATGAAAAGATGCAAGTCGCAGAATCTGGAGGCAGTTGCGCGTCGAGATGAGCAGCATCGCGAGCTTAGACGGAACTTGACGGAGATACCGCACCGCACAAGTAGTAGTGGTAGTAGTAGTACAGCGAAGAGGAGAGTGGCGGGCGCATACGCGGAGGATGAGATGAGCGGCGATGAGTTCCGGCGAACGGTTGAGGCGTTTATCGCGCGGCAGCAGAGGTTTCTGAGGGAAGAAGGAGAAATTCCCATCTCATCTCATCTCATCTAGGGTTACGCTAATTACAAACAGGAATAATTTAATTAATTAATTAATATTACATACATATATATATATATACATATATATATATATATAAGCAAGCGGGTAGCAGCAGGCTTTTAGAGTGTATATGTAAAAACAGCCAGCCAGCCAGCCAGCCACGGGGCCTGTTTTTTGCCGTGCTCAATTAGAGACAAAAAGAAATAATAATAGTAATAATAGTACATAATAGAGCTTGGGGTTAATTCCCATATATGTGTATTATATACATCTTTGTCTATTTCAGGATAATTAAGAGAATACTTGAACATGTTTTTCAAATTTAAAATGTACAACACATATTATAATAATAATAATAATAATTATTATTATAATAATATCTTAAAAAACTAGTACTAAAACTACTTTGATGCGTGCAGTGCAATATAATGATCAGCTGCAGGTTGCTTGCAATGCAATTAATTTAATGCGGTTATTGCTGACAGTGTTTGTCTTGTCGTTTATTTGTGGCTGGGTATTGGAATAGTAAGTAATTGGGAGGAATCGTTCTCTTCTTTTTTTTAATCATCATTGGTTGAGATGAGAAGGTGGGTGCTAGAACTCATAATTCATAATTTTATTTTAGATTGAAAGTTTGGGCTTGGGCTTTGGGCCTTCCATGGTTGTTTTTAATTTGTATTGATGATGTGTGTGGGCTAAAAGCATATATTTTGGGCCTCATGTTAGTAATTACTTGGGCCTTTTGGTTTTGGATCATTTCTCTTGCGCTGCGACTGGTTTGAGCTTTGTCCCCACGGGTCTTTTGACTTTACAATTCATTATAATTGTTGTCGTATTTTAGATATTAAATACATGCTTAGACCATCCACAATGGAGATATCTGCTTTTGGGTATTTCTATTACTTTTTATTATTCGCATCATTTTCTGTTTCTGTCACGTCAGCGAAGATATTCTCTTCTATTTTATATTCGTAACAATGATACTCATCCTAATTTTTTATTTTCATATTATATATATATATTATTTTTTAATTATACTTTTAATTTTTAGTATTAATTATGTATGCATAATTAATTATAAACTAAATATATTTATTGTTTAATATAATTTTATATTATTTAATTGTTTTAAAATTAATAATTATATTTTATTTAATAAATTAAATTAAATTTATTAATATTGATTTGTTCAATAGAATTATATAATATTTGTATTTATATATTTTAAATTTTAAATTGATAAAATGTATTCAATATTGGTATCATTTTGTAGAATACAAAATATTATAAATTATAAAAATATTACAAAATTTAAATATAACAATAAATTCAATATAAATTAAAAAAACAAAACATATATACTAATATATATCATATATATATATATACTTATACATAAGTGTCATATGTCCCAATTTAATTGGGATAACATCTTCCCAGCATCTACGCAAAGATGTTGGGAAGCAAGGTATTTTTCAATTTTTATTTTTATTTTAAAAAAAATTGTGATGTGGCGTCGATGCGGATGGTCTTATATATCTATACATTAGTGTATGTACAGAGGGGTAATCATGAGGATTTTTTTCGTATTGGTTGATATTTTTTGATTATCATGTAAATTATTTTATGTGAAAAATCACTCTTTTGTGTATATATATATACTATGTACGTAATATAAATATTGCATTCATCTTATTTTAATGTAATTTTTTAGAGCTTTATAGTCGATTAATAAAAGTAATATTTTATTGATTAACGAAATTAATTATATATATGTAATTGTATGTTTTAAATTTAGATAAAAATTAAGAATATTTTAATATTAATATATAATTATTTTTTATGAAAATAGTAAATATATATTTATTAGTAAAATAGACAAAAATAATAAAAATATATATTGAATTGAGAAAAAAAAAAAACATTTCATTGTTTATTAAATTGATGTATGATAATTATATTTAAATATATTATACATAATTTAAGGTACGTTTATTGAGTTTGACCGTTGGATATTTACCCAATATTTTACTATTTGAAAATATTATCACATTCAACATTATTTAAATAAAATATTTAAACATTTAAATTCAATCCATATTTAAAAAAACCCACTTACAATTTTTATAAAATGATTTACATAGCGAATATTTCCTTTACTAAAAATATAAATTTGACGTAGTATACTATGTGGATGCTACGTACATCACTATCATTTGCCTAATTAATGGCTGAATCCCATCCAATCAATTAGGCGGTGTAAATCTCCTATATATATATGTTGATACCATAAATGAAAGACACGCCTTAATATTTACTTTATCCTTCTCTCCCTGCATCTCTCCATCATTATTTCTTTTATTAATATTACAATATACATATACATATATATATATAGCAACACCTAACATACCTATATATATTCATATATATACACTTGAGTACATATATACAATATCATACATATTTTATAATACATTAATATATATATATATACAAAATAGTGATTAACAGTAGGAATAATTAATATTCCTATTTGTTATTCCTATAATATTAATATTTACAACACGTTATCAGCACGATCAGCTTTTTCGGCACGGTAAGTATATTTCAATATTATTATGGCTACTAACATTGCAAAACAAGAATTTGTCCCACTTGTCATTTCTGGCAAACATTATCTATCGTGGGCTATGGATGCTGAAATGCATCTGGAATCGATGGGCCTGCGTGAAACGATTGTGCGAGGCAACAATGCCACCAATCAGAGCCGAGCAAAGACAATGATATTCCTCCAACATCATATCGATGAATGATTGAAAATAGAATATCTCACAGTCAAGAATCCTCTTGACTTGTGGAATAAATTGAAAGAAAGATACGATCACCTGAAGTTAATCGTACTGCCAAAAGCACGCAGCAATTGACATAATTTGAGGTTGCAAGACTTCAAATCTGTCACCGAATATAATTCCGCCATGTTCAGGATGACTTCACAGTTGAACTTATGCGGCGAGAATATTACTGATGGTGACATGATGGAGAAAACATTCTCCATATTCCATGCCTCGAATGTGATTTTACAACAGCAATATCGAGAGAGGCTTTAGAACATATTCTGATCTCATTGTCTGTCTTCTATTGGCAGAGCAAAATAATGAACTGTTATTGAAACATCATGCATCCAGGCCAACAGGTTCCAGCCCATTCCCTAAAGCGAATGGGGTACAGTCTGCTAATCCAGGCCGCAAAAACAACAAAGGCCGGAGAGATGGCAAAGGCCAAAGACGCGACCGTCCCCAGCCTCGTCGAAATAATGGCAAAAGACCATATAAGCCCCTAAAGTGGCAAAATGAAGAGCAGAAAAGAAATTATGAAGATAAGTGTCACAGGTGTGGTACAAAGGGACACTGGTCGCGCTTCTGCAGGACATCTAAGCACTTGGCTAATTTGTACCAGGCCTCGCTGAAAGGGAAAAACATGTCTGCTGACGTAAATCTCTCTGAACAGAACAATGACGACACATATGATGATGTCCTGAAAAACACGTCTGCTGATGTGAATCTCGCTGAACAGAATAGTGATGACACATATGATGATGTCCTGAATAGCGACCTTATGCATTTGAATACAACAGACTTCCTTGAGCACACTGAAGGTGCCAAGTGATTATGTAATTTACTGTTTTATTACTTTTTACCCCTATACTTTTGTAATCCCCAACCTTTTTGTATCATTTAGTATTCCATCGGCTATATTAATATATTGTCTTTTTGTTTGTTTTATTCTGAAAAGAATATGGATGCCATGTGTCAAAATACACATTATAAATAGGACAATATTTGCTTAATTGATAGTGCAACTATGCACACAATATTGAAACACAAAAGGTATTTCTCCCACCTAAAGTTGGGAAATTCAAAATTCAGCACAATAAGTGGCAGTGCAACAATTGAAGGCTCTGGAAGAGCCCTTATCTGTTTCCCCGAAGGAATCAGACTTGAAATACAAAATGCACTGTTCTCGAGTAAAGCTCGAAGAAATTTGCTGAGTTTCACTGATATTCGTAGAAATGGATATCATATTGAAACCATTAACAAGGCAAATAATGAATATTTGGTGATTACAAAGATCATCAATGGAAATAAGTGTGCGATTGCAAAATTGCCCTCATTGTCCTCCGGCTTGTATTATGCCAAAATAAGTGCCATTGAAACATATGCAGTAGACTTGAAGTCTACACAATCAAATAAAATTTTGCTTTGGCACGACCGTCTCGGGCATCTTGGAAATACCATAATGAGGCAAATAATTGAAAACTCCATTTGCCATTCACTGAAAGATCGAAAGATCTTGAATTCAAATGAATTCGCGTATGCTGCATGCTCACAGGGCAAATTGATAATCAGGCCGTCACTAACCAAAGTTGGGACTGAATCCCCTATGTTCTTGGAAAGAATCTAGGGTGATATATGTGGACCTGTAGATCCACCATGTGGGCCATTTAAATATTTTATGGTGCTCATTGATGCATCAACAAGGTGGTCACACGTCTGCTTGCTATCTACGCGTAATATAGCGTTTGTAATATTACTTGCACAGATAATTAATTGCGAACACAAATTCCTGATTATCCAATAAAGAAAATTTGTCTCGATAATGCTAGTGAATATTCGTCACAAGCATTCGACGATTATTGCATGACTTTGGGGATAACTGTGGAACATCCCGTTCCTTATGTTCACACCCAAAATGGTCTGGCAGAATCCTTTATCAAGATATTGCAATTAATTTCCAGACCATTACTGATGAAATCCAAACTCCCCGTTTCTGTCTGGGGACATGCAATATTACATGCAGAAGAACTTGTGCGAATAAGACCGACAAGCTATCAGAAATACTCCCCAACACAATTAGTGTTTGGAAAAGAGCCCAATATATCTCATCTGAGGATTTTTGGATGCGCAGTTTACGTGCTGATTGCACCACCTCAGCGTACAAAAATGGGGCCCCAACACCATTTGGGAATTTATGTCGGATATGAATCACTGTCGATAATTAAATACCTCGAACCAATGACGGGTGATCTGTTTACTGCGTGATTCGCAGACTGTCATTTTGACGAAACAAATTTCCAACATTAGGGGGAGAACAAAATCAACTGAAAAATGAAATTTCTTGGAAAATACCTATGAATTTCCTAGATCCTCGTTCACAGCAGTGTGAATTAGAAGTACAAAGAATTATACACTTGCAACAAATTTCAAATCAATTACCGGATGCATTTAATGACTCCAGCAGAGTCACAAAGTCGTATATTCCTGCAGCAAATGCACGGGCAAAACTAAATGTCCCAGAAGGACAAATAATAAGTGCCAATGAATCCTTTGTGCGCCTGAAGCGTGGCAGATCTGTAGGTTCCAAGGATAAAAATCCCCGAAAGAAAAGGATATTGAACAATGATTCAATCCCTCAAACAATTTGTAGTGATATAGAACAAATACTTGAAGAGAATGCTCCTGAAGAGCCTACCTCAAAAGAAAATGAAGTTATTGAAAATTCAATTAACTTTACCACTACAAATAAGAGTTGGAACCGAAATGAAACAATAATTGATAATGCATTTGCATATAACGTGGCACTCGATATAATGGAAAATGAAGAGGATCCCGAGCCAACATCAGTTGATGAATGTCGGAAAAGAAACGATTGGCCAAAATGAAAAGATGCGATCCAGTCTGAATTAGACTCACTGGCCAAAAGAAATGTCTTTGGACCTATATTTCCAACACCGGAAGGTGTTAAGCCAGTTGGGTGCAAATGGGCATTTGTAAGAAAGAGAAATGAGGACAATAAAATTGTCTGATACAAAGGGAGACTTGTAGCCCAAAGATTCTCACAAAGACCTGGGATTGATTATGATGAAACATATTCTCCAGTTATGGATGGTATCTGTAACACCCCCAGTTGGCTCATACTGGAAATGCTACCGCCACACTGCATCATGAGGTCGGCATCTCCTACTTCGGGCCCCACAATACAGTGTTAATGCTAAAATTAACCATAAAGCGCATTATTATATAACAAAATCTGATTTATGAATATTTACAAAACACACTCCTAAACAAGAGGTTTTTCCGGCTAAAAATTTACATATAATTCAATATATGTAAGTTCACTCACTCAGCCCGTCTTTCTGTATCCCGAGACGTCCCCTGTCTCGGATGTGCCATACATACCTGAAACAAATATTTTTTTAAAAGCAGTCTAGAATTAAATCCATTTTAAGAACTAACGTGAAATATGTCATTTAATACCTTTTTAAAATAAAGTCTAATTGTCGTCAATCATAAAATATATGTCATGTCATACCAATAGTGAAATAATGCAACAAAGATATCAAACTCGACAACAATGCACATGCACAAATATATATACATCCGCCGAAGTGAGCAGTCGGAATAACCTCGGCTCAATAATAATAGACTCACTGCACCTGTCTAAGTGAGCAGTCGGAATAACCTTGGCCCTGTACTAACAAGCTCACTAGACCATCATCAATAAATAGCCGGAAAATCTTCGGCTCAAGGAAGGACCTGATAAACCCATAACAATGTAACGGTCATCTGGTCACTTCCATATACCCACCATACGACTCCCGCAATGAATACATGGATAGCCGAATGTTGTCGCCATTAACCACAAGACGCCCCATAGTCTGTGATAGCGAAGATAGGACCCCCATTGACTAACCCTATCCCGTGTAATGTAGTAGAATCCGTGCAACCTGGAATCACCCAAGGGAAACCCGGAAACTCTACTCCTCCTCACGCGCCCTAACGGGATCACGTTTGGAGTTTGACATATGATCCTAAACTACCGGTAGACCTCACCAGTGATCAGTCCAATGAGTGGAACAATACCGAACACGATTGATTAGACCAAATACGTCTCAACTACCATGGGTATAATCCCTGAATGACCATGCGACTAAGTCACCCAGTTGTCCGACTACTATCGTCCACTATCGCCAAAGTGTTACGGTACATCGGGGTTGAATATCCTAACCCCAGATGATGCCATCGCCTAGAACTATCGCACACAGCGACTAGACGATAGATCCATAAAACATATCCGATAAACCGTGCAATATGTGTGCATCATGTCAAATAAGTGAATTTACCGAAAAAGACTGGTGAGACAGCTTACCTATCCTCATTTTCATAAATTCACATACGCGATCAAATACATATATCAAATATCATGAACCGTGAAGTCTCCCACATGCATACGCACACATATATATAAATATATGCATGCACTGACAAAATGATTCACATAATATCACATTAACATATTAATCAGAATCACATGCAACATGCATACCTAATTTCTTAAAATTAGATTTAATTCCTTACTGCTTACCTCTTATCGACACTTCCTAACTTTTGTAATCTCACCTAAATCTTCTCCAACGTACACCTGCCCCATTATTTACTCAAATCAGCTGAGTTATATGCTTATTCATATGAGCTACTTGCTTATTCAAAAGCTAATTTTTATAATTAACTCGTCGAGTTTCAAACTTTTATATTTAGTAGAATATGATATTCTAGTTATAAAACTCTTATACCTCATAATATTTATATCGCCCGATTATTAAATAAAAATACTTAAAGGTATGAATAAACAGACAGGTGCAGTACGGACGATACGAAATTTTCAGGATATAATGGTAGGACTACGAATAGGCTATTAGCTAAAGAAATTCGTCGATTAAATAGCCAAATAGTCAGTTATGATATTTTTGAAGAATTTCTAATTTAATATCCCAATATCAAAATTCATATTAAAATCGATAATTAAATTCTACGTATAACAAGGAATACAATGCCGAAATCAGAATCAAAATCGGATAACTAAATCTTTTTTTTTCTTCTTTCTTCCTGCTTTGCGTTCTGCTTCTGCGTCTTCAATGTGTTTTATATGCTTTGCTTTTACATATATATATATATACATATTTATATTATTATTAAACATTATCATTATTATTATTATTAGTAACGTTATTATTATTAGTAACGTTATTATTATTATCATCCTTATCGTCATTATAATCATTATTATATTATTATATTAAATTATTATATATTATATTTTATATTTATCCTTATCGATATTTATTCGTTTAACAGTCTTTTCAATCATAATCAATAAATAAAATAGAAATAAAATTTATTCCAAAATATTAATTTTTTTTTATCCCAATATATTATAAAAATATTTATTTGCTATAATAATATTATTTTATACACTCCGAAATCGAGGTCACATTACAGTATCACATTCAGATACCTAGTAAGCCTAGCAGTGCACAAAAAACTTGATATGCGCCTTATGGACGTAGTCACTGCTTATCTGTATGGCTCACTGAAGAATGATATTTATATGAAAATCCCTTAAAGATATGACATGCCTGAAGCATGCAAATTAAATCCCAGAGAATGTTACTCCATCAAAATACAAAAGTCTCTGTATGGACTTAAACAGTCTGGACGCATGTGGTATAACCGCCTCACTGAGTGTTTAACCAAAGAAGGTTACACGAACGACCCAATATGTCCATGTGTTTTCATAAAGAAAAATGGGTCACAGTTCGTGATCATTGT